CCCCCCCCCCGGCCACGCGCTCCCACCCCGTCTCCACGACCAACACCGCGGCCCCCGCCTCCCTCCTGCACCCGCTCGCCTCACGCCCCCCCCCGATCCCGACATATGTAAATGATAGGCATCCATTATTATATTATTATTATTATTGCCCTCCGACAATTGAAGATGTTAGCACTTAAGTCCTAAAACGTTTCCCTCAATGCATACCCCTTACCATTTCTATCTTCATGCTCATACTTGCACGAATACGATATTGTCAAGCACGTCATGTTAGTACGTACCTACCAATGCCGAACTTAAATCTGAAGGAAATCATAACATTATTGATTGAATTCAACATTTCCTCCGTTCTCCTTTTACTTCCTTTGTGAAAATGCCAAAACCTTGTCTCTCCAAAACTCTGACAAGAAGTTCCTGTCGTTGAACCGAAATCTTGTGAACATAATCTACTACTAAAACGACATTTCTTTTAGTACGTGTGATGTACCTACCAAATGTTTGTAACAACTATACCTGCGCTCATAAGATAATCCAGTAAAAAGGGTGTTTGCCCGACACGAGATAAAGTGCCCCAAGCCTTATATACTGACATGTGGTACCCACATACCCCCCCGGATACGAGCGAGCGGACAGCTCAGCATCGTAGACAAATACGTGAGTACCACGACGACGCACCCCCCGTAGCATGTACGGTAACCGGAACCCGACCGGCTGGCGGCGGACAAAAAACCCATTTACACGTGCCCGGAGTCGAACCCGGAACTCTGACATTGCAGGGATGACATCCTGCCGCTGACGCCACTGTACAAAGGGTGTTTGCGCGACACGAGATAAGGTGCCCCAAGCCTTAGACTATATACTGACATGTGGTGCCCACATTTCCTCCGTTCGTTCTCCTGTTACTTCCTTTGTGAAAATGCCAAAAAAACCTTGTCTCTCCAAAACTCTGACAAGAAGTTCCTGTCGTTGAACCGAAATCTTGTGAACATAATCTACTACTAAAACGACATTTCTTTTAGTACGTGTGATGTACCTACCAAATGCTTTGTAACAACTATACCTACGCTCATAAGATAATCCATTACATTCTTACTATTACAGTGCATCGACACTACATCCCCAAATCAATGGTGTCGATGCGTTCGGTGTCGATCTTGTTCGTTGGTCCTCCGCTTCTTGTCGTCCACGTAGTGCGAGCTTGTATCTTTGTACCCTCCTTGATATGGCCACCTGCGTAGCCACCGAAACGACCAGAAGTAGCCTCTCCTTGTAGACTCCTTTCTGGGTCATCGTTCCTCCATGCCTCCCTCCTGCAGCGTGCGTCGCTAGTTCGTCGATGAATTCGTAACCCTCCTCTCCAAGGCGGCCAAAGCTTTCCACCGCGAAGGTGGTAAGTTTATAGCTGCGCTCGTCAAAAGGACACGTGTCCTGGCCGAGCGTAGTGCTGACGCTTTCGCGCCTCGGAGGCTTGGGCGGCGGTTCCATCGCTGGTCGCGCTGCCATTTCGCAAGTGTACTTGTGCTTGCGGATCTGCGTGCGTCACATCGAGGAGTATTCCTTTGTGACGGTACGCTGAAGATGATGCGTTTGCCAGGACTCCTGGCCTGATCACGATGTCCATGCTGAGGTTCCTCTCTCCTGTGAAAGGCGCCCCGGTTTCCACCTCGTGTTTCACCCCCAGACCCGATAAGGCTCTTGATAGTGCATACTTCAGAGGTTCATGCATATTCACCTGCGCTCCATCCCTCGGACAGGTCCGTGCATGCACCGTTGTGATGGTATTGTATTCCCTGCCTCTGTGGCATCTAGGACATCCTGTTGCCAAGAGTTCCTCGACTCCCAGGGTGCGTCTGATGGCGTAGACGAATTCGTCAGGAGGAATCTCCCGAGCATGGTCAGTAGGGGCCGCTCTCAACCAAGCTTGTGCTCCTTTTCCTTGAGAGCTCCTCACTCTCGCCAAGGCCATGCTCTTAGACTCCCTTCCTCCGTATGGGCTTTCTTGTGTGGGCGGGACCGCTTCTTGAGACAGCTGGTCCAGGGACTCCATGAACCTCTCGAGTTGCTTTTTGTTCATGGCTTTGCCCAATTTGTGTTGGGCTTTCTTGGGCGTAGTGGATTCTCCGTCGTGGGCTGCTAGCTCCGCCACTGTGGGCCTCCGTCGTCCGGTCTCTCCCGTCTGTTCTAGGGCCCATTCCACCCAAGATGGCGGCACCACCCCCTTCAATACGTCCTCCGACAGCCCGAACTCCGTGTGGACCTCCTTTAGCGCATCCCCCATCCGCTCCACCAAGACGGTGTTCGGTATCTTGGTTTTCACCGATTCTCCCAACGGGCCTCTCAGAGTGGCGATAACGGTGGGTAAGGTGCTGACAAGGTTGCCAATAGAAGCTGAGAACCTTCGAACAACTGTCGCTGGTAATCCCAATCCTCCAGCCCCCGTAGACAAACGCGCCTGGGCTTGTTGATAGGGCCGTATCTTAAATCGGCCTGGCTGGTCGTCGTCGTCGAAGAGTTGGTCTTCGTCCTCGGCGTTTCTGAGCCCCATTCCCGCTTCGAGGACGCACATGACAAGATTGTCCAGCCGTTCACAGGCCCCGCTGACCAGTGTGTGATCGATACCGCGCTCGATGTATGCCGATCGTTGGACGAGCGACATAGACGTGATCAGGTGGGCCACTTGTTCGTCTGGCATACATGCGAGCATACGGGCCAGTTTACCTGCTCCGCCTTTTGGTGATCACGTCCGCGGCGAAGCTCTTGACGAGGTCATCTGTCCCGATAGGGACGCCTACCACGGTGATGCCTTCCTCTGCGATTGGGAGACCTGCTTCACCCAGGAGCCTTTGCTCTTCTTGAGTGACCTCGTGTCCTGGCGGAGGGAGTGCCGAGCTCTTCGCCCTGTTCACGATAATGCCTGCAGCCTGAAGCTCTTCGACGAGGTCCGCTATCACCGGAGTTGTTGATGCTGTGATCACTTTGAAGTGCAAGGTGATATCGTCCATGTAAGCCTCAAGGCTTACTCCCAGATGCTCGTACTTTAGGTTGGGCTTTGGATGATCGGTACGAGGACGAAACAGAACAGTGGTGGTCCCATCCCATCCCCTTGTTGGACTCCGGTCGTGCATTCGATTATCCTCCGCTCTCCCGAGTCCATTTCGAATACTGCCTTGGCTGGAACCTCGTCGTAGCATCTGGCGACGTACTCCACGAGGTCCGGAGTGCTCTTGGCTGCTTGTGCCATGATGGTCATTCTTTTGGCTGTGTTGAATGCATTCGAGCAATCCGTCTGGATCACCCAATGCCCAGTCTGATTTACCAGCTGCGCGTGCATCGCCACTTTTTCCACCCCTCCCGCCACAGCCACGCCGAATTGGTCCGCGTCCCTGAAAACTTCCTCTAGCTTATGTTTCCATTCCCCGACAACACCTGCTGCGATCAACCGCCTCCATGTCATCCTGATACACACCGGACGTCGTTTTTCGCCCAGTGCTATCAGGCTGGACCCCAGAACTCGGGCGGGAACGCGTTGGGGTTGTTGATGATTCGTCTCCAAAAGGAGGACATGGCAATTCCGAAGTCTTCTCTTCCTATTTTCGTGTTGACGATGGACTTTAGGTGGGAAAAACGTTGCCCGTCGTTGCCTGCCCCGGAATTCGAGCTCCTGGTGCTTATGACGGCAATGAGCACCTGCGGGTCGAACTCGTGTTCTGGTCTCCACCTTGGAGCGCTTCCGTCCTCGTCCTCGATTCGACTCTCTGTGATGGCTTCCGCTATGGCATCCTGTACGGCCACGGGATCCTCGTCCGGAAATTTGGCCTTCAGGCGTTCCCATGTTTCTTCATTCCCCGGCGACTGTGGTTCAGCTAGCAGCGCTCTAGCAGCGTCTTTTACCCCCCCCGAGTGTCGGCACGCTTGCGCAGCGCGCTTGTATTTGTCATCAGGCGTGTCGTCCTGCGCCGGTCCCCGGGTCCGCGCTCTCGCTGCTTGGGTGTAGGCTATTAGCCAAGGGAGGAGTGAGGAGATGTCCCCTCTTTTTATCGCTTGGTATTGCTGTTTGCGGGTTATCTGTCCGTCGGAGGAATGCAGAAGAGCAGGTATCAAGTACCCATGACTCGGATAGTTGAGGATGAAGTCCCTATGTCAGATGGCGGTCCGCCGTTGTCAGCCAGCTGCTTGTTGACTAGCTGGAGGACGTGTGTCTGGATGCGGGCGTGTTCTTGGGCCAGCCTAGGTTGGATTTTCTTCACTGTTTGAAATCTTGGTGTGAGATCATCCATGCTGACGCCATTCAATGCTGGCCCTATGCCTGGACTGTCTTGATTCCAATGGTATAGCATCCTCTCTCCGCTGGGTGCTTCGTTCAGTCCTCCTGTCATTCGTTCAGCTCTCCGCTGTAACCCCGGGTCGGCTTGGACCGCCGCTTCCAGGGTGTCCCGTCGAGGGTGTTGGATCCCACATCCTACTACCCTGCACTCTAGTAGTGCACGCGACCCTTCTCTTTCCAGGTTGGCAAACACACACCTGGCGTGGATGACGTGCCCACAAGGGAGTTCTACCACCCTGTGTCCTTGATTTCTTTGCTCCGAACATCCGCCACATCTGGTATTCGAGCTAGGGCGTTGCGTCCGTTCTTTCCCGGTTCCGTTTCGGACGGGTCTCTCTGTCTCCCCTGTGCGGTTGGGACGGTCGTTAGCCCCGGAAGTACCGGCTCTCCCTAAACCGCCTCTCGGGCTTCCTTCTGTGCTCGTCGAAGCCGGTTGCCGCCCTCTCCCTCTGGGTTGCCCTGGCGGTGTTGTGCCTGGCGTCGGTTCCTGTTGTCGACGGCGGCGCCCGTTTCCGCCCGCAGGTGGTACCGCAGAGGTCCGTTGACGTACAGCAAGTAGTCCAGCTGCATTCTGCACCCGTGAAACCCGGCGGTCGGACGACTGTCTATTTCGCCTTGTCGCTCCGAGAGACCTGCTTCTCCCCCCTGAGTGCACTGGTACATCGTCGTCTTCTTCTTCGGGGCCAGTATCATTGTCCCAGCCGGGGTCGATGCCTACCCCGTTCACCCTTCTTTGGAGTCCCGTGGTCGGGGTTTCTTCCGTGGGGCCACTATTGATGTAGCCCGGGTTGATGCCTACCCCCGTGACCCATGTTTGGGTCCCTGTGGTCGGGGGCACGTCATGTTGACCATGGTCGCTATTTCGGCCGATTGAGGCGTAGTGCTCGTTCCATTCCTCATGGCGCTGAACTACCCCACCCACCTGGGGAAATGGCGGTAGAGGATGTCCGGGACGGTTGAGGGCACTCTGTACTGCCACCGTGTAGAACGTGAGGAGCTCCTCGCATACCGGGTCTCGATGAGCCAGGTATTCCTGTACGTGGGGGGCGATGTAGGTCCTTCCGGGAGGGAGCTCCAAAAGCACCTGACACGGGTGTATGCCGTTGGCGTAAAACGCAGCTCGATATCGCTGGACCATCTGGTCCCACCCAGAGCTTCCATCCCAGTTCCGAGGGAAGGTCATGTACACATCGTTCAAGTCGAAAACGTCGCAGAAGAGAGTGACCAGGAGCCAGGAAGCGGTCGGACTCCTCCCGTGGGCCCTTACCATGTCATCAAAGGAACCGAAACGACTCACCGGGTGTCCTACGGATTCGGATAGAGACCACGCGCCAAAATTACTCACCAGAAGGGACGTGAGAGTCACTTGCTCCCTCAGAATGTCCCATCTGCCTCCCGCGTGCGGTAGTTCTCCTTGCTGAACTAACTCAGCGAGACTCGGAGGTCGGCGCCCGTTCACCCCTTCTCGCGCGCAAGTCGAACACGGTTGCGGGTCGGTTCGACCGTGTGCCAGCTGGTCGGCTCGGTGCCACAGGCAGTTAGCGTGTACATATCCGTTGTGCCCGCACGGGACCGGGACCGGCGATTGTCCCTGAGCGTGTGGTGCAGGTCCGAAGCTGCCCCCGCAGTATGCACACGAACCGGCCTCTCCTGCTCCGCTTCCTTCGGATGTTTCGCCGGGTTGTACACCTGAGACTTGAGTGCGTGTTCCTTGTGCCCTACTCATCGCTTGCAATCTCTCCCGAGCTCTATCCACTCTAGCCTGCAAAGCATCCCTGGAGGCATCCGGTAACTCCTGCGCCTGGATGGCTATTTCCACCAACGCCAGAAGGCGGGGCCAGGAGATGTCTCGCCGTGAATCGTGCAATGCCGGGTTCGGACAGGTGACCATCCTAGAACCACCCGACCTCGTAAGTGAGGTCAGGTGGTTTTCAGCGAAGGTCGACGCGCACGAGAGATGCACGGGGCATGAGCACGGCGCGGTGATGAATGGCCGTCTTCTACCTGCGGCCTGGTGACAGATGACGCAGATCGCTGTCATGCCCGTGCCCGTCCTCCCGCGTGCGGCATTCAGTCTGTGTAACTGAAGCAACCCTACGTCTCGCAGTTGTACCCGGATCGTTTCGATCCTCCCGTCCAGAGATCGCCGAGCAGCTTCGCTTTCGTCTGGGTCCACTCGGTCGCTCTCCAATAGGATGTCGACCGCTTGGAAGCCATGTCTTCCAGTTCCGTCCTGGTTTGTGCACTCGATGTTGTCGTGCCCGTTTTCTAGGGCAGTCGGGAGTTCACCTTCGACGAGCCCCACTGCGCATCGTGTATGGTATCGGCACTCACAGGAGTTCAAAATCACGGTTTCCCCTTGACCGATGGGTCCATGACAGACTCCGCAGATATGGCGATGTTCGTGTGCTTGGCTAGCCTCGATCGCGGTGGAACGAACAAGGTCCCGCTCGTATCGTGCGACTCGTAACGCTTCAGAAACAACTTCACCTCCATGCTGCAGCCGCAATTTTTCGCTTGTTGCCGAGATAGTGGACTTGCTACGGCACATTGGATAGTGCAGGACGTCACCTGCTTCCCTCACACAAGCTCTCGCATAGCATCCCAGACACATGGCGTGACCGCAACCGGCGAGGCTTACCGACGGTTCAATAACGCAATCCTGCACTTCTTCGGTTCTCTCTGTTACGTCGACGCTCATCGACGGCTGCCGGCTACTTTGGCCCGAGGGCTCGTGTCCTCCCCGTGGAGACGCTGTCGTTGTCCCCTCCTCCCCTTGACCCGCTTCACCTTGCTGTACCACACACAACTCGGGTCGGGATGCGGGCCCGCCGTTCTCTTCGCCCCCGCCTCGTACATGACGGATAGGTTCCGATTCCGTGCCAGGATGCGGGGCATCCGGCGAGGCCGACAGTTCGTGGCGGGGTATATGAGGAAGCCGATAAGCCGCGTGTGGCTCCGGCGATGGCTGAGAAAACCGACCCTCCTGGGGGGAAAGTCCGTCTGCCACGCGTCGCTCTTCTGCTTGCCTCGTTCGAGACCTCGTTCTCGTCGAAATGCGGCCCTCATCGTTCAACCCGTTGCCTAAATCCCCTCCTTTCCCCCTCGCCCCGGCCGTCTGCTCCGTCGTGGTAGCACACGGGGAGGCGTGTTGGGCCGCTGGGCTTCCTTCTTCCCGAGTGGGTTGGGTAGATGCATCGGCCGGCGGAACCCCTTCTGCTGAACCGTGAGCGGGATCCTCCGACAGTTGGGCGGGAGTTGCGAACTACGGAAAATCCTCTGCTGCGCGGACGATCCGATCTCCCGTGGATGCTGTAACGGTAGTTATCAGTGCTGTTAGCGTGGATGCCGGCTCCGTGTTTCCAGAGGTGGCAACCTCCGCACGCGGTGTGCATGTCTCTGGCGCTGTAGCCGATCCCCCGGATGGGGCTCCCCCTTGAAATTCTCGTATCTCCCGTCCTGGCGACATAGGCGCCGGTGAGATCGCTGCGGTGGCCGAAGATGCGGTAGGCGGCTGTGACCAGCAATCCGCTAAATCGCTCAATCCTACCGGCTGTGGGGCAGTACAGGACGCCGAAGCGGGATGCATCCCCGCTCTCCGCACGCGTGATCGTGTCCCCGTGGATACCTGGTCGCGCGATGACGGGCTCTCTGCCTGAATGATATCCTCGCATGTTCCTCAGCGTTGGAAGCCCTGTCGGGTGTTTGGGGAACCGATCGAGAGCGGGGGGGCGCCGGCGCGGTCGCGCCTGGTTGAGGCGGGTCGACGTCCATGTCGTCCGCTCCCGCGTCCACTCCAGTCCGATCGGTCGGCAAATCCGATGCGGATGCCGCTGGTGTCGCCGGCGTCGAAACGCGTGCTAGCCCGGGGGCCTGTCTTCGTGGGGGACCCGCATCCGGTGCGCAGTCGGTCACCCTCAAAGACGTGGACACCGGCGGTGCAGCCGAGATTCTGCCTTCGTCACGGAACCGTTCGTTTCGCTGCCTCGCCACCGCTGTTCCAGCCCCGCAAATGGCTGTAGACGTCCTATTCTCACCTCGAGTTGTTGTTGCGATCCCAGTATTGACCGGCGAGACTCCGTCGCCAGCACGAGCGCGCGGCGGGAGAGGCGGGGCTCTCGCGGTTTTCCTTCCCGAATCCGCTACCCTCCTGTGCGATGCCCGTTCTAGGATCCCGACAGGTGGTGTTGCCGCTGGAAGCCTACCCCCTTCCCTTTCGTCTGGCTGTGTAAGACGGCTATGCGGTCCGGCCCCCGTGATTATCCCGTGCCGGAAAGATGGCCGTATCCACCGGAAAATGCTACCTAGTAACCCTCGACTGTTCCCCCTCGCTGCCCCTTCGGCTCGCTGAGGAGGATGGTTCCGCTGGCCGAAAGGATTCCCCTGCCGAAACTGCTTGGAGGAACCATCAGTGCTCGACGAAAAGGTCACCCGAAGTCGCTGTCGAGGTCGATCAGATAACTCAGTATCAAGCGACGCCGAGCGCCTCCTCCTCCGTAGGACACCAGGCAGTGCGGCCGCCTCCGTCGCTCATCGAGGCGAAGGTCGCTGTGACGGCACATACTGCTGGAGTGGGCGTCAGGGTGTCAGTGTTCCATGACCTTTCGAGTTGGCTACGGTATAAGGTAATATTCTCTTCAATGAGGTATGGTTTAAAGGAATACTCTCTTAAAGCGTAGCCATAACGGTTTAACAGTAATACCGTTTTGAGCAAAATTGGCTTTTGCACGAAGCCGCTACTAAATACTACTGCATAGTAGATAAATCGACCGTATGCTCTAGCCAATTGTTCCGCAAAAAACGGAGAGGAGAGACAGCGTCAATGGAGGTTTCCCGGTACAGCGCATCACATGTTGTGTAAAACAAAGTGTAGTGTGTGTTGCCTATTCCCATTCTCACACGAAAACACAGCAGCTGGGGTCTTGTGGTGCTCTCCCTTGTAGATCATGTAAAGGTGTGTAAAAAAACTCCGCAGCACGTTGCACAGATGGATACAAGCGCGTCGGCGGCGGCAGTAGACAGATGATCTGGCAGATGTGATGTTGTAGATGCTCTCTGTGGTGTTGGACCCTGGGGGGCCTGGGGGGACAGAAAGCTGTTTGATTCAAGTCTGGCTTAGTGTATGTCTCCATGCTGGTGACCTCTGGTGGGTTGTGTGAGTTATGAGCATCCCGAGAATCCAACCACACAGACAACAGATGACGTAATGACCGACCGTCAATTGAAAAATGCGGCATGATAACCCACCAACCCCGGGGACACGCCCAATACATCCCCGTGCGTCTACCTGCGGTGTCGGCATTTTCTCTGTGGGGCTTCGTTTTCGTTTTGGGGGGGGGGAGTAATAAGTTCACCAGAGGTTCGCTTGTGCCCTGTGCCCTCCACCAGACAGAGTAAAAGCAGGACTTGGCCATGCACAGCGCTTGTGGAGGGAACCCGAGACAGACAGGTCGTCACAAGCGGAGGGCAGTATCTGCTGTTGTCAAGGAGAGGCCGCTTCTGCTTTTCACGTGAGTCCGCTGCCCGTACAAAATCGGGGAAGTTTTCCCGCTTCTCCTCAAAACAACTTCATCATCCCAACACCTTTGTCGTGGAATAGTTGTGGTTTGGGGTGCCACATACCAGACCTTCTGAGACCTACGTCGCAGCCGAGCGCTTCTGCTTCTGTTGCGGCGTGCGAGTTCGTAGATCACTAGTTGGGCCCGCGATGATGGCAAAAATCACGATGTGGCGAGCGAGCGACCGAGAGAAACCGGGGAAACCAGCAAACCAAATCGTTCTTTTCTCCAGAGCGCCGAAAACACGGACGTCCCCGTTTCTTCGATACAAGGTAAAAAGCACCGACCAACGTCCCCCCATATTTCCGAACAAACACCCGTAGTATCTACTGTTGAGGAGCACAGAGGGAGCGCTGGAGTGTGCAGATACCGTGTTGCTCTTGATCGCCTGGGTCCCGTTGGGCCTGCGATGGCAATCACCACGATGTGGCGAGAGAGCGACCGAGAGAAACCGGGGAAGCCGCAAACCAAATCGTTCTTTTCTCCAGAGCGCCGGAACACGGAAGTCCGTTTCTTCGATACGAGGTGTAAGAAGCGCCAACCAACGTCCCCCCATATTTCCGAACAAACACCCGTAGTATCTACTGTTGAGGAGCACAGAGGGAGCGCTGGAGTGTGCAGATACCGTGTTGCTCTTGATCGCCTGGGTCCCGTTGGGCCTGCGATGGCAATCACCACGATGTGGCGAGAGAGCGACCGAGAGAAACCGGGGAAGCCGCAAACCAAATCGTTCTTTTCTCCAGAGCGCCGGAACACGGAAGTCCGTTTCTTCGATACGAGGTGTAAGAAGCGCCAACCAACGTCCCCCCATATTTCCGAACAAACACCCGTAGTATCTACTGTTGAGGAGCACAGAGGGAGCGCTGGAGTGTGCAGATACCGTGTTGCTCTTGATCGCCTGGGTCCCGTTTTATTTTGAGAGCGGTCTTGTCCAACACGGCCCAAAAACCAACTCCACCCAAGGACTCTCAGTCCCCATCTCCTTTGAAAAATGGGTGCAGTAGAGGTCCCTGTTTAGTGCCGGGGTGTGCGCAAAAATTTCACCGGCACTATACCGGGCACCGGCACTATTCTTCAAAGTGGATAATGGATAATGCCAACGGGGCACTATTCAGGGTCTGAAAATCCCTCAATAGTGCCAGACCGGCACTATTGACGAACTGTGTGATTTCAGAGTGCAGCGCTTCGCTTTGCGGGGCCAACAGAGTAGTACCACATGAAAGGTACATGGTGAGATCATGGCATGGGCGTCGCGGGCAGACTGCTGTGCCACNAAGTGGATAATGGATAATGCCAACGGGGCACTATTCAGGGTCTGAAAATCCCTCAATAGTGCCAGACCGGCACTATTGACGAACTGTGTGATTTCAGAGTGCAGCGCTTCGCTTTGCGGGGCCAACAGAGTAGTACCACATGAAAGGTACATGGTGAGATCATGGCATGGGCGTCGCGGGCAGACTGCTGTGCCACGATAGGGGTGGTTCCTGCCCTGTCGAACACACATATATTGCTTCATAAGTTAACTGGACGGGACACACATGCTGCACCTTGTTGCTGTACCCACCTCAGCGCACGTGCTGCACACTTGCACAACCTGACTTAAACCCTTCACATGAATATCGCAAAGGATGCACCTCATAAATGTGTAATATTTTGTTGGCAAGAATGCCGTGGCACTGGCCTTTAGCGGATCAAACCATTTCGCGCAACCTCAACATCACTCCTCGACAGCGAAAGCAAACCACTGATCATGAAGCCCATGGATTTTTGGCGGTAACATTCTTGCGAAGCTCCTGCTGGCACAACGTATTGGTGTGTGTGGAGGAAGCTAAATCTGTCTCCTCCTCACCCTCCTTCGATGTAGCCAGAACAAAAAACAAAAAAAACACGACCGCAAAAACGGGACATGCAAGAACTCAAACAGCCGCTGTAGCTGTAACCCCCGCCCTCACTACGTCGCGATAAANATTGCTTCATAAGTTAACTGGACGGGACACACATGCTGCACCTTGTTGCTGTACCCACCTCAGCGCACGTGCTGCACACTTGCACAACCTGACTTAAACCCTTCACATGAATATCGCAAAGGATGCACCTCATAAATGTGTAATATTTTGTTGGCAAGAATGCCGTGGCACTGGCCTTTAGCGGATCAAACCATTTCGCGCAACCTCAACATCACTCCTCGACAGCGAAAGCAAACCACTGATCATGAAGCCCATGGATTTTTGGCGGTAACATTCTTGCGAAGCTCCTGCTGGCACAACGTATTGGTGTGTGTGGAGGAAGCTAAATCTGTCTCCTCCTCACCCTCCTTCGATGTAGCCAGAACAAAAAACAAAAAAAACACGACCGCAAAAACGGGACATGCAAGAACTCAAACAGCCGCTGTAGCTGTAACCCCCGCCCTCACTACGTCGCGATAAATTCCCGCATGTCTGCCTGGCGAGTCCGCTTTGCGGTATGCGCTGCGATCATCGCCATCCTCGCTTTCGACAGGTGGTACACGGCGTCTCCGTTGCCAATCTCCTCCGCTGACGCCTCTAGGTACCCGAAGTGAGACGACAGTTCAGCGTAACCCGGTGGGGCACGCCGCCCGCGGCCCGCGTTTTCATCGTCGCTACCCCCCTCCTCTTCGTTGTCCTCTTCGTTCTCCACCTTCTCCCGCTCGGCCTTCACTTTGCGGATCAACCGTTCCGAGCACCCGAAGCGGTCTGCTATCTCTCCTTGAAAGAGCTTCGCATCCACCAGCTTGAGGAACTCGACCTCGTGGTGTGCGTCCAGCCGCTTACGAGCTTCGTTCTTACTCCCCCCTTGTGCTTTCGGGGGTGTAGATTGCCCCTTCCCAGCACCCTCTGCTGCTCTCGCTTTGCGCTTGCCANAAGAGCTTCGCATCCACCAGCTTGAGGAACTCGACCTCGTGGTGTGCGTCCAGCCGCTTACGAGCTTCGTTCTTACTCCCCCCTTGTGCTTTCGGGGGTGTAGATTGCCCCTTCCCAGCACCCTCTGCTGCTCTCGCTTTGCGCTTGCCAGTGTTGGCTGCGCACGTACTGCAGATGCGGTTCAGCTCGCTGTCGTCAAACATGCTTCCATATTCGCCATGGAGCCGCCCGCCGGATCGTCCCCGGCAGATGTGGCCATTAGGGGCTTGTGGCGTTCTGTCCGGTATGCGGCACAGGTCACCTTCCGCACATGACATGGTGCGCCTCTGCGTAGAGCTGTTCGGGTCTGCAGCAGCAACGTGTACCCTCTCCTCTGTGTCTGTCTTCTGTGTTGTGTGTGTCTCTTGTGTGTTGTGTGTGCGTGGGTGCTTGAACCGGCACTGTTGTGGGGTTCAGTGGGGCCCGAACCGGCACTATAGTGGGAAGCCCTGAATAGTGACGGTCTGGCACTGTTCAGTGCGGGTTCTGTGCGCCGAGATTTGACCGGCACTATACCGGCAACCGGCACNACATGGTGCGCCTCTGCGTAGAGCTGTTCGGGTCTGCAGCAGCAACGTGTACCCTCTCCTCTGTGTCTGTCTTCTGTGTTGTGTGTGTCTCTTGTGTGTTGTGTGTGCGTGGGTGCTTGAACCGGCACTGTTGTGGGGTTCAGTGGGGCCCGAACCGGCACTATAGTGGGAAGCCCTGAATAGTGACGGTCTGGCACTGTTCAGTGCGGGTTCTGTGCGCCGAGATTTGACCGGCACTATACCGGCAACCGGCACCAAGCAGGGACCGCTGATCTCCTTCGGCACTCGGCGTCGTTGTCCTTCTTGTGCGGAAAGACCGACGTGGCATCCATCATTATTTGTTTCTTTTTTCTTGATATGGCACAACGAATCCATCTCTAAGAAAAGAGTCCAAGACAGATCATTGTTGCATCAGCACCATTTTTGAAGATGAGACTTTCCGTACAAAAAAATAATGCGCCGGAGTAATTGACAAAGATAAGAAAAATAAACAACATGACCGCTTTATCGCTCGGTCGTTTGCAAAAAAAGCCTGCCCTGTTGGTCTCTTCCCTGGCTTTGCCGGTGTCTCCCTCTAGGAACTACGGACAACCAAGCAGCATCGACACCAGTCTCACCGCGACTGCCGAGCAGCAACAGTGATTACCGATACCACAGATACTGCCGCCATGTATCGTTCCGCACCGGTAGCTTCCGAGTATCAGCCCTCGGTTTTACCTCACCGCTGTTATTTTCGCAAAGTAACGGGGACAAGTTCGAATCGTCCCCGGGGTCTCCGCAGAAGATCGGTGCGGTTAATAATAACATAATAATGGTCATTATTTGGTGCTACTTCTTAGGAAGTAGTAAGACATGGACATGTCGTCCGCACAAATAATTGACCACGTCTTGTAACTGCCCTCCTCTTTTCTTCCTATGACCCCCCTCCTCTCCCTCTATCTCTCTTGCTTCCACCTTGATTGACCCCTCTCCAGACTGATATCGATCGTTGCACGGGGTGGTTGGGCAGCAGAGGAAGGCGTTCGGACCGCTGTGGGAAGTGATGGAGTGGCTGGAGGGAGCAACCGTGGTGATTCCGGTGTCGCCGGAACCTACGGCAGCATAGGTGAAGCTACGGCGGGTGCCGGTGTTTCGTTCCTCGACGTTGCTGCTGTTGGTGATGCTGAAGATGCGTCTGCGAGGGTTCGGGGCGGGGATTATGCTAGCTACGCACCTGCTGACAGTCGCGTTGGCCACGGTATCAGCGGACGTACGGATGCCGCGGGAGGAGACGGGCCGCACCCTCAAACGAAGCAAAAGAGCCCGTCGTGGCAATCGTTGAGGGGAAGGCGGGCGAGGGGCGGAGGAGATGGAGGGCGCGAGCAGAAGGAAGGGAGGTTATACGAGAGCGAAAACCACGCTCGACAGCTCCCGGAGATCACGGTGGGGACGGTGGGCGAGTCCTTCGACGTCCGGGAGAACGGGGCGAGTGCGGGGCCGCAGGAGCAGGTTAGTTGTTTCTCCTCCCGTCTCAACCTTTGCTGCTATTAGGCGTATGCAGGTTCTGCCCTATGCAAACTGCCATGGAACCGGGATCGGAATCGGGGTATAGAGGGGGGCCGGGCTCGAAATACGTCCGCGTGGCCGACGGACATCTCGACATAAACTCCATATGGCGGCATGTGCTCTTGCTACCCTCTCCGCGGTTTAGTCTGTCTTGATCAAAACTTGACTCGCGTGTTGTGCGATACTAGGCACAGCGGCAAACAGGGCTTTAAAGTTGACCACCTAGCCGCTTGCCTCGGTCGTAGTGTTGTCCTCCCAATTCCAACTCAAACCTGCGAGAGGGTGTGCTAATCTCTGATAGTAGTCTTCACCACTGGGTGAAAGCACGTAGTGCTTTAGAATTTAATGTTTGCCCGATTTTTCAGACATGCGGCTCCCCCCTACCCCCGCCCCCCCCAACCCATCCAGAAATTGAACTGACCGTTGGTCCGTGACTCGTGTATGGTATCTACGTCACAACCAACAACACGCACAGGCTTTGACGGAAGGAACGCTGGCAACTCCTCCCGCCTGGGACTCGACGCTGTGCATGGCTCACTGGGGCGTACCGGAGCTCCAAGACGAGCCAGACCCGAACGGCTATGTAGTTTACGTCAACGGCAGGTGACCATTAGCATAAATTTCCGTCCTTCTTAGCGACAGCGTAAAGAAGCCCGCTCCCAGTTTTGTCGTGCGTGCCATGGCCGCCGACCTCGCTGTATGTCTGTCCGAGACGTTTTTTTTTGGCTTGTTTTTTTTCAACATCCTGTGGTGGCGTAGAGTGCGTCAAGAGCAGGCGCACATCTGTAGCAAGATTGGCCATGCGTGTTTTCTTCAACAAACACACTACACCACACTATTAATCCCTTTGACTTTACTCCGACCCGCATAGCATCCTGAATAGCAGCCGCAGTGGGCGCGGGACGCTTCACCGCCTTAGGCGGCAGCTGTGGGTTAGGGTTGCGCAAGGCAGGGTTGCAACGCACTGCGCCCGGCGATGGTCGAACGCTGTTGTGTCTAGACCTGGATCACTGCATCCCCACCAAAGTCCCCCTCCCGCCACCCGCCCGTCCGCCCGCCTCCTGCGTGCTTGGTGTGTTATTGTTCCATTTGTATCGTGGATTGTGCAATCCCGCAGGGAGCAGCTAGGGGGCAACAAGTTTCTTGTGTCTGACGGAATTTTCATGGCCAAGGCGCTCGGACGGACGTTCGTTGAATACCCTGTCAAGGACGCCAGGTGTGTTTCGGGGGCGAGGGGGGACAAGGCGAGGGGGCCGGCTACAAGTTTGCTGTCACATCCCGATTCTCCTTCTTCCTCTAGGGCGATTCGTCTGCCGCTTGGTTGGCCTACGCGTTGCAGATTCATCTGTGTTCCTGCCTCGACGGGTTGCTCTGCGGTGGAATCTTACCGCTGTGCTTTGCCAAGCCGTGTCGTGACGACCTCTGTTGAATGGTGTGCTCTTTGCCAGGTTCTGCTGATACTATGGGTAGCGTTTTTTTAGAGAATGCTGCAACATGATGGTGAGTCGCATTTTTTTGTGTATCTCGTTCCGGTTTGGCACGTGCGTGCGCACGAGTGGCGACAAAGACATTTTGATAAAGGTGAACGTTCGAACAGGGCTGCGACATCACATGTGCGTCCGTCATGCTCCGTGTATTTGGTCTTGTTGCATGGTGCGCCTTCGGAGTGGGCTGGCTCATTTGAGCATAAGTGCCATCAAGACGTGATGTGATGCAAGATGAAAGCGAAGTGTTGGCGTGAATCAAGTGCGAGCTACCATCAGTGACTTTTCCAAAGCTGGAACAGCTCACACAGCCGACGCGTTGTAGACTCGAAGAGCCCAGCAACCCCAAGAAGAAAAATAGACAGATCTGTATTAAAGTCTTCTAACCTCTGGTTGTTTCTCTCGAACCAGGGTGGCAAAGCTGGAGGAGGCCTCCATCGGCCTCGGCGCCTACTGGGATCTCTCAGAGCTGTGCATGTGAGGCGACGAAGACGGTCTTGACGGGTTTGTTGGTCGAGAACGAGGAGTGGACGTTCAATGTCAATGTACCCTATATGACTCTGCCGATCGCGAAAACTACTTCCAGCCTGTCTGGCTTTCCTCCTGTATGACACCCGCTGGTGCGTCCGGAAGAGTTTTCCGCGAAAGGTAGAAAGACCGACGTCCAGAATATGTGGGATGACAGGTGACAGTATCTCTCTTCTAGATCTGTTTGGTGTGTATGCGTGGTGAATTTCGATCCCCTTCTGTCGGTCAAGGTTCGTCCCCCATTTTGTTTGGCGCGACGAACGGGGTGTATCGCGGGGGAGCAGTCACCGCGAGGCGTCAAGGCTGAGTCTGTGCGTTTCGGGTGTTCTGCATGGCGAGCGGGCGGGAGGCGGGCGGCGGGCGACGGCAGGCACTGCCCACATGGCGTCCTTCCGTTGTCTTCCTATTTTTGTTCAGTATCCCCTCCGTCTACTATGCTGTCGTAGAGGCAGCTGTTCTACGGGGCTAGGCCTAGAGCCCGTCGTGATTCATGCCTTTGCCGACGGTATGCATAGATTCTCCTTGTGCGGTGTCTGCCGCAGACGTGAGTAGCTAATCTGTTTGATCGGCGCGTGTATCGAGAGTGTGCCATATGGTGAGGCGCGTTTCGGTAGAAACATGACAAGAACGTGTCCCCATCTGTTGTCGGGCACTGCCCCGTTGCCGGGTCTGGGTTGATTCACGAACAGGTACCACCGTATTCTGGACCTGAACAGCTTCCGGAACATGATGGTCGACGGAAGAATACCCCCGGAGGCCTTCACCACCATCAGGTTTGGTTTGACGACTCTGGCTTTCCCCCGCGCCGTCATATATTCGATGGTAACGACGAAGTGGCACCGCGTCAGGTCCTGACTTCGGTCACGAGGACTTTTTGGAGGTCGGGACGTGAGAAGAATCCCAGCCTTTTGGCGCAAAAAAGCGACGGTGGTCTTGTGGTATTGTCTTTATGAATATGAGTTTTTTTTTTTTTCTGCGGCATTTCTTTCTCTGGCATCAGCGATCTTTTCTCAAGCTTCCTTCTGAGAGGGGTGTGCCGGAAGCTCGTCGGTACATTGCCATGCAATATTCGGAGCTCGCCAAGCTTCCGTGGCACGTGTGCTCGGTGGCCAAAGCAGCTGGGACTGACGCTATATCCCGGGGACGTGTTCCGCGAAGAGATTGCCTGGCGAACCAATGTTGAAACCCGTTACAGTCCGGATTTCCAAGAAGCGAGAAGATGATAACGGGCAAGAGCGACCCGCATGCTGGTTTCAGACATGCGGATCTCCCGCTGTCAACGACAACTGTAGATGAAGCTGACCGTGTGGCGCCAGAACCCTACCCATGTTGCGTATTTTGGAGCTTTGCGCGGTTTGCTGGTTGAGTTCAGCATCAAATCCACGGAACGTTGCAACCTAGCGGGGAAATACCCTCCTCAAAACGTTTCACATTCGCTTGGTCGATACAAACCTCCCTCCTCGACCACACGTCGGCATCGGTGCAGCGATATGCCGTACTGCAGACGACCCATGCACCCGCCACCCATTGTAGCTTCGGAGCTTGTATGCGCCCTTGATTTAGATCTTCAGAGCTTGCCTTCTTAACTCCGCTTTTGAATTCGAGTTCAGCTCACAAACGAAAATAGCAACTACGCGGCACCCAATCGAGAGTCACTGAACCTTGGCTCTTGTGGATGAATCTCGCTGGCAAAATCGCCGCCCAACAAGCTGGCCCCAGTGCTGCGTGATGAAAATGAGAACCACCGGCACACCACCCCATGAGAAATCGTTGAGCATTTCATCTTGCGTCAGCCCTGGGATGCCCGAAACTATCTTCCCAGTGGGAGCCTTTTGGTAATGGTAGCGTGAACATGATCGGTCGTGCTGTTCCACAATCTGGCGCGGAGCACGCGTGCGGTTGAACGACCCCGAATACACTTTTTTCGGATATGTCGTAGCTGTGTTTTGTGTGGTTCATCCCATGCCCCTTCAGATGTGAACACGCGTAGCGCGCTCGACTGCGGTGCAGGGCTGGTAAACGGTATGGCACGTTGTTTGTTTGGCCGACATTTTGTGCCGTTTCGCGTCGCCCCGCGCGTTTCACCCCCAGATCTGACTCGCACGAGGTGCTCCTCTACCATGCCACTGATGAAGAGCACATGGTCGACATGTTCAAGGACTACGAAAAGTATCAGGTATTGACGACCACGATGACGGGCGAAATTATTCTCTTCCTCATCTCGAGTACATCGCGGGTTCTCGTTTCATTGCAATATGGCGATTATGGGAAGTTGAGGGTCAGAGGGGGCTACAGGAGGTGGGTGTGAGAGACCCGTTGTCGCCTTGGAGATATGTATCGAGCCTGGAAAATAGGACCCCGCGATGGTGTAGTATATTTCGCGGCACGGGCGGTACGCTGGCTTTACAATGAGGTACTGCCGTCGTGTGGCAGCAGCACAGCATAGCGGTTGGATGCTTTGATACCCCTCGTCTTGGTTTGTTTCACCATCGCAACCCACTTGTTTACCTAGCCGTTGTACGGAATAGACGGCTATGGCCACAAGAGCAAAGTTGTGTATTTGAGAATCCCCTCTTGCATCGGATATTTGGCTCTGCACGGAAGACCTCAGTTTGCCCGATGAGGAACAAAGAATCGTAAGGTCCATTTTATCATTTTATCGGCGTCAACGTGTAGCGTCTTGGCCCTTCTAGCCGTGACGCTGATGCTGTTGCAAGCACAGCCACACACACCACAATCCGGCGGTTATTTCTGGCCGACATGCTCTTATACGCAAGATGTTTTGTTGAAGATGTTGCATTGAAGGGTCTGGATGGATTGTTTCTCCAGCCTGTGCATCGAGACATGGGGAAAAGTGCGGTAAAATTCGGCCTCGCTCCTCGTACCGTGAAATCCCCTCTCAGGACCAAAACTTGGCGACCAGGTTCTGTTGCTGGGCCCTTTGTGCGACACGCCAGGCTCGCCCATCGAGCGATGCCATACGCAGCATCTTGTGTTGCAGTTGCGGTTCATTGTCCATGCTTGTCGGAGTTGGGTGTAGACACGCCGCAACGCAGAACGTTGTGGCCTGCAGCTGATAGCTTATCTCTCAAATTTCGTCAGGGAGGGACCCGTCGGACTTGTCGGCCCAGGCAAGCTATGGGGGATCTCAGCCCCTTTCAAACTTATTCAAGTGGTCATCCACTTCGCCTAACCTATTCCAATCCCGAAGTTCGTCGGAATATCTCTGGTTAGCGGACCGCAGCCGGTGCTGTCGTTAGTTTTGTGTTCGGAGCTTTGAATCTTTGCGTCTGCTATCTATGCCCCCCATGCCCCCCCTCCGTCAAGGTGATCGTGATGGAGTCGACGTGGAAAAGCGGCAATGAACGGGACGCTCTTCAGTTTCTCAGGCCAAACCCGTTCTTCGTGGGCATCGTCCGAATGCTTCTTGAAGCGCAGAAGGTATGTAGGTCAGGGGTGCGATCGTTGGAGTACGTACGTGAGTTGTTTTCGGGGGTCCCATGTTAAAATGCGGCTACGCCCGATCGCCAGAAGATGAGGACACGTGAGCAGGGGGCTACTTTCTGTTGTGTCCATGCACGTTGTTGGCAAGGCTGTGGGGTAGAGACGGAAACTCTCTCGCTGTTTTTCGTTGCGAGAATGACCAATGAGCGGTGTTTCGTCGACCAGGATGGCCACTGAGCGAGTGATGTAGACGCGCACTTCACGTGGAGGCGGTTTGATCTTTACCCGACAGTCAGGAACGCTTCTGAAGTGAGGGTGGATGATTCACCTCTCAGCGGTCACCCGTGTGCAGGATCAATAGTTGACCGAGCAAGTGAAAGCGTGATCTTTGTGTTATGGTTCCGAAACAATGTTAGCCTTAAGTCCTTGATGGATAGCTCTCCGTTGTGCTACGAATTTGAAGTACGACTTTGTTTTGTTGAAAGGGGGATTACTCCCGGTAGCGCATCCTCCTGTTGGGAGGATTTTCTGTTTCCTTCAAAGGGCTCGACCCTTTCCTTCGCCTGCAATACCCGACGTCTTGTGTAAACGGCCGCGAGATTGTTGCCTACCTCCTAAGTTTTGCCCCCCCCCCCCCCCCCCCC